GATAGATAGATGGATAGATGGATGGATGGATGGATGGATGGATAGATAGATGATAGAAAGATAGATAGATAGATAGATGATAGACAGACGGATAGATAGATAGATAGATGATAGATAGATAGATAGATAGATAGATAGATAGATAGATAGATGGATGGATGGATGGATGGATGGATGGATGGATGGATGGATGAACGAATGAATGAAATGTTACGTAGATTTTGAAAAAGGGTCAGGTTTGATAGCGTGCCGCTTTAACTGCGTCATGCAGCTCCGGAGAGATCAGCGAGCGCGTGCTGGATGCGTGCCTTACGTCATCAACACTTTCCGAAAACACGCCGCTCAGCCGCTGTTGTAAACACTGTTCTAAACTAACATTATATGTGTTCGTATCTCGAAGACACAGCGAGCTAACAGTTAAACGGAGATACCTGCGTGTGTGAGTTAGCAGGATAGCTAAGACATCAAACCCGGACGTTACTTTTATTACCAGGCTTTCAGAGCGGTGGTATACATATTACTAAAAAGGAACATAGTAAGTCCAAAGTAAGTGTGTCATCTTGACAACTAGTGTTTATGCAGGTTGACCTCACCGAGGTGTCCTAGAGGTAAAATGTGCTTTTAACTCGAGTGTTTTAAAGTATGGAGCCATGTTTGAGGTTTGTCTGTCGAGAGAGTCTCAGGAAAGTGTCGATGAAATGCTGGACATGGAGAACTGTCAAGTGCTCGAGATCACCTTTCAGACGCCCTCTTACATCAACATGTGGACGAACACATTTCAGCACACCGCTGCTGAGAGCTCAGGGACACTGTAGGTGCTGCATGTCTGTGTTAGTCTATGGCTCTGCTGCTCAAACAACATGAAGAACACATGTGTTTCTGTTGCCAGACCTCTCCTGTCGCCAGAGAGGCACAGATGCATCCCAAGCAGCCCTGTCTAGTGTTGCTCCAGTGTTTGTTGTGGTAAGACAAATACGTGCATCTTGTACAACGTTTTGTTTACAAAATACACACTGTTTGTGATTGGAATAAAGCCACTGACTCACCTTTACTAAATCACCTTCTCATGTAACAGATGAAATTTGAGCCTGATGGGAGTGTGACCTCGTTTGGTGAGTTGGATGCTCTCCACATCCTGCTGTATGTTCAACATTTAGGTGTGACGCTAGTTCCTTTTAATTTTTTGAACCAAGCAATGTTAATTATTTATAAGTTATCTCAGAAAGACATGGTCTTACACACACAGAAGCAAGATTATGGAGTATGTTGTTAACTTTTATATTCTACATGGAAAATACTATATTCACTAACGAAAAATCTGAATCGGAATCAGAAAGAGCTTTATTGCCTCATACGTTTACACATACGAGGATTTAGTTTTTGTGACGGAAGCTTCCACAGCACAAACAGAATGACAGTGACAAGACACATAATAACTATAGGATAAGTAAATAACAATGAACAAAAAAGTATTACTTTTTTTTTTTCACAATATACAAAGTGGACAGTAGATGGTATTTCTGTGTACAGGTGTATTATGTACAAATGTAAAAAGAGGCATGTGTGTTAAATAGATAAATGTATAAATAGTGTTGTGTACATGTTTATTGCCAAGTTAACTGTTCATGAGATGGATTAGCTGAGGGAAGAAACTGTTCTGGTGCTCTGTAGCGCCGACCAGACGACAACAGTTCAGAGAAAGTGGGCTGGGTGTGAGGGGTCCAGAGTGATTTTTGCCGGCTCTTTTACTCACTCTGGATGAGTGGGGAGGGTTGTACCAGTGATTCGCTCAGCAGTCCGCACTATCCGCTGCAATCTTCTAAGGCAGGGGTGTCAAACTCAGTTCCTGGAGGGCCGGAGCCCTGCAGTTTTGTTCCAACCCTGTTGCAACACACATACCATGTCGTTTTCAAATAAGCCTGAAGGACTTGATTAGTTGGATCAGGTGTGTTTAATTAGGGTTGAATCTAAACTCTGCAGGGCTCCGGCCCTCCAGGACTTGAGTTTGACACCCCTGTTCTAAGGTCTGATTTGTTAGCTGAGCTGAAAGCAGACAGTTATAGAAGCTTGACAGAGGGGTCTTTAGAGGTGCAGTCGTTGGTGTGCAGGGAGAATAGCAGTGGGGAGAGAACACATCCCTGGGGGGCACCAGTGCTGATGGAGCGGGTGCTGGATGGGAATTTTTTCAAGCCTTACTAGCTGCTGCCTGTCTGTCAGGAAGCTGGTGATCCTTTGACAGATGGAGGTGGACACAGAGAGCTGAATTAATTTGGACGTAGGGTTGGGTACCGTTCACATTTGAACCGGTATGGTACCGGTATCGGTACCTGAATTTCGGTGCCGGTACCCAACGGTACCTTTTTTCGGTACTTTACTCTCTGTGTAATTACACAAACATTTATTTCAATGAAAAAATAAGTCCTAAAGTCTCAATTTCAACATTTTGAACAATAGGGCCCTACAAACTTTTTCTTTCTCAACATTAAAAAAAACATTAAAAATCTTACTGTTTGTTGTAAACGTTTGACTGGTAGTGTAAGCCCCTGGTCTGTCCAGATGTTGTAGAATATAATCTAGTCCCCTGTTGACTGCATCATCCACAGACCTGTTTGCTCAGTAGGCAAACTGCAGGGGGTCTAGCAAGGATCCAGTGATGTCCTTCAGGTGGGCCAGCACCAGTCTTTCAAATGACTTCATGACCACAGATGCTAAAGTGGTGGTTGATTATGATTTCACTTTTTTAACTTTACCTAGTCTGTAATATTGCTGTTAGAGCATAAACAACATTTGCAAAGTTCAATGCAAAAGGAGATATTTTCTTTTAAAGAAATCACCGTTTAATGACTGCAAAAGAGGCTGGTAGAGACAACAACAAGCTTCTTCCCGGGTTTGTGACATCACTACCCCCGATGTTTACATAAACCCTTAGAAGCTTGACAGAGGGTCTTTAGAGGTGCAGTCGTTGGTGTGCAGGGAGAATAGCAGTGGGGAGAGAACACATCCCTGGGGGGGCACCAGTGCTGATGGAGCGGGTGCTGGATGGGAATTTTTTCAAGCCTTACTAGCTGCTGCCTGTCTGTCAGGAAGCTGGTGATCCTTTGACAGATGGAGGTGGACACCGAGAGCTGAATTAATTTGGACGTAGGGTTGGGTACCGTTCACATTTGAACCGGTACGGTACCGGTATCGGTACCTGAATTTCGGTGCCGGTACCCAACGGTACCTTTTTTCGGTACTTTACTCTCTGTGTAATTACACAAACATTTATTTCAATGAAAAAATAAGTCCTAAAGTCTCAATTTCAACATTTTGAACAATAGGGCCCTACAAACTTTTTCTTTCTCAACATTAAAAAAAACATTAAAAATCTTACTGTTTGTTGTAAACGTTTGACTGGTAGTGTAAGCCCCTGGTCTGTCCAGATGTTGTAGAATATAATCTAGTCCCCTGTTGACTGCATCATCCACAGACCTGTTTGCTCAGTAGGCAAACTGCAGGGGGTCTAGCAAGGATCCAGTGATGTCCTTCAGGTGGGCCAGCACCAGTCTTTCAAATGACTTCATGACCACAGATGCTAAAGTGGTGGTTGATTATGATTTCACTTTTTTAACTTTACCTAGTCTGTAATATTGCTGTTAGAGCATAAACAACATTTGCAAAGTTCAATGCAAAAGGAGATATTTTCTTTTAAAGAAATCACCGTTTAATGACTGCAAAAGAGGCTGGTAGAGACAACAACAAGCTTCTTCCCGGGTTTGTGACATCACTACCCCCGATGTTTACATAAACCCTGCCCCCGGGAACACGCAACTACCCGTAATGGTAAGGGCGTGTGACGTTTCCAAACATGCACTCGATTTCTCAGCTTTTCGGAGTAGTTCCTCTTAGCCACTCTGATCTCCTTTGTCAGTGTTTTTAGCCTGTTTATTCAAGATTTTCCCATTCCTGTAGGCATCCTCTTTGGGCTGATGGAGTTGTCTGAGTTTTGCAGTGAACCACGGTTTGTCGTTGTTGTAAGTTAAATGAGTCCTGGTAGGGAATGGATGCACATATTTTTTTCACAAAAACTGATGTATGAAGTTACAGTCTCTGTGAGCTCATCCAGATCGGTGGCTGCAGCTTCAAAAATGCTCCAATCAGTGCAGTCGAAACAGGCTTGTAAATCCCGCTCTGCTTCATCAAGTCCATCTTTTAACAGTTCTTATTACAGGTTTAGCTGATTTCAGTTTCTGCCTGTAGGTCGGTATAAGATGAATCAGAGCCCCAAAGCTGCTTGTGAGTGTAACAGTGGTCCAGTATGTATCTCTGGTAGGACATGTAACTTGCTGTCTGTATTTTGACAGTTTACTTGTGAGGTTTGCTTTATTAAATTAATGTTCGGCAAAACGTCCGAGTAATCAAAAGATTGCAGAATAACTACCAATTTATACCTGAGTGAGCTCATCCAGATCAGTGGCTGCAGCTTCAAAAATGCTCCAATCAGTGCAGTCAAAACAGGCTTGTAAATCCCGCTCTGCTTCATCAAGTCCATCTTTTAACAGTTCTTATTACAGGTTTAGCTGATTTCAGTTTCTGCCTGTAGGTCGGTATAAGATGAATCAGAGCCCCAAAGCTGCTTGTGAGTGTAACAGTGGTCCAGTATGTATCTCTGGTAGGACATGTAACTTGCTGTCTGTATTTTGACAGTTTACTTGTGAGGTTTGCTTTATTAAATTAATGTTCGGCAAAACGTCCGAGTAATCAAAAGATTGCAGAATAACTACCAATTTATACCTGAAATGTCACATAAAAAGTATTTAATGCTTATTATAAAAATAAGGATTTTTTTATTCTATAAAAACAAATTATTATTAAATTTTATAGAGAACCCTTATTTTGCCAATTATTATAAATTTAGAATTTGCTTTTGGGAAAAATTAAGGTAATTTGGGAAAAACAAAACTCTGTGTTTCAAATTGTTCAGTCTTCAAGTACTGTGTTAAAAAAATTATTTTTGAATTAATTTTGTATGTTAACCCTCTGTTTTAATCTGATTTGATAATTTAGTTAACATTTAGTTAATTCAATAAGAAAACAGAAAGAGAGAAAAAAATCCTAATTTTGTTTATTAAGAAAAAGTGTTTTATGGCCAACATTTGCTATGTTAGATTTTTATTGATGGACCTGGGTCTTATGTTGTTTTTTTGTTTTGTTTTTTTATATAGAAAAGAAGAAGACTGAGTTGTATCAGGAGCTTGGTTTGCAGGCGAGAGATCTGAGATTCCAGCACTTAACAAGTATTACAGCACGGAACAATGTCATTATTATACGCATGGAGGTATGGACACACGTTACTATACTATCAGGTTCTAAAGATTGTTTCATAAACAGAGTTGAGCTTTATGTTGTATGTAATACCAGCTACAGCAAATATTCTAAAATTGAAAACTCATTTGCATTTGGAAGTTGAATAAATTTTCCTATAAAAAGTTTTGAAAATGTATTTGTTTATTTATGTGAAGTCCCTCAAGGCAGTGGTTACGCCACAGTGTTTACTGGTGCTGGATTTCCGTGGTCTCAGTCTGGAGAAATGGCTGGTGTTAGAACTTGGGCCACAGTTGGCTGGAGATGGACATTTGGCTACTTACTCGCTGCCCTTTGAGTTCAGAGCTCTGGAAGCCATTCTGCAGCACAGGGTGAGCATTGAACAATTATAGAATACATAATGTTTGTTAATATGTTACATTAATAATTATCAGTTAATTAACATATTCACTACTGTTACAAAGTGTCGGTTAATTGTTTTTCCCCCCAAAGAAATTATCACACTTATTCAGCAATGATTCATTAAATTGATCAAAAGTGACAGTAAAGACACTGACAATGTTTATTTGATGAATAGAAAGGTAAATATAGCAACATTTATTTGAAACAGCAATCTTGTTACATTAAAAAATGCCCTGGAATCCCGGAAAAATGTATCACAGTTTTCACAAAAATATTATGCAGCACAACAGATTTTAATATCGATAAAAAATGTTAATTGAGCACCTAATCAGCATATTAGAATGATTTCTGAAGGATCTCTACAAGTTGCACCCTGTATTGGAAGATGGAGTTTTAAGAGTTGGAGGTCGGCTGAGTAAATCTGCAATGTCAGACGAAATTAAACGTCCAATTATTATTCCAAAGAATCTCCATGTCTCTACTTTGATTCTGCAAGACATACATGAACGGATTGGAAATGGTGGTAGAAATCATGTTCTATCACAACTTACTGGATCATAAATGCCAATTCTGCTGTAGCGTCTGGACCAATCCAACACACTATATATTCTCTTTTTATATGACAATTACTCTGTAGAGGAAAAAGTGTCATTAAGAATCAAGTTAACTGAGAAGTTATGGGTGTTACTTTTAATTTCATCTATTATTTACAGTTTATATTTAAGGCAAGACATTTCAGGTAAAACCATTGTTTTATTTAATGTTCTGGTTAATTATGAGAGTTTGGGCTATTTTGCTTGCATAGCATGTCTTCTTTTAGACTAGTGTAAAGAAGACATCCAAAATACGCATTTAAGTTTTATTTTATTACACTTAATCTAGTTGTGTCTGTAGATTTCAGTTACAATTCATATCTTTAAAAGCCATATTTATATAACATTTTATTCTTAAAAACATGGTGAAAAGATTTTCTGGTTTATGGAATGATTAAAAAGAGAGATCCAAAATCTTGTCTGTAAAAACCATTAACATAAAATATGTCAAACCAGATTTTTTTTCAA